CACACACACACACACACACACACACACACACACACACACACACACACAAGTTTGTTTTTATATGCCAGTGAGGACCGTGGATTGACTTCCATTCATTTTCTGGTCATTTCTATTGCCTAATCCTGACACCTTACCCCATAACTAACCACCCCGGTACATACCTAGCCTTAAATCTAGCCTAAACTCAATTCAGACCTTGGTCCTAAATCCAACCCCCACACCTAAAATCAGCATCTGTACCCATGAGGATCGGGCTTCAGTCCCCATAAAGAACATTCAGTCCCCATGAGGCTGTGTTTTTCTGGAAAATGTTCCCCATGATCAGTAGTGGACAGTAGTGGAGTGCATTTACTCGAGCACTGTACATAAGAATATTTTTTGAGTATCTTTACTTTACTTGAGAGTAATTATTTTTTGGGGTACTTATGACTTTCAGTCCACTACATTTCAAAGACAAATATTGTACTATTTACTCGACTACATTTCTAGGAAGCTTTTATTTACTTGTTACTTTTGGTTCAGCATAGCTTTGTAATTAGCCTGCTTAAAACCAGATCCTTGTTCTTCGCTTTGCTTCATACGAGGGTCTGGACTCTCAGCTATTGAGAAGCGATTGCTTGCTGGAGGCGTGACCTCTGTTTAAGTTTAAAATGATTGGATCGGTTGGCTGCAACGTATGTGTGTGCCAGCTCCACTGTGAAGGAGGCTAAGCTAAGAAGCTAACTGGAAATTGTGTGCGTCGTAAACAATTCTAATGAGAGGAGAGAAGTACCGAGCCGAACGAGACAACTAAATGAGAGCTGCTGCTTTGRCACACAAATTTAAATTAATTTGAAGCCTTGTCAACACAGACTGGCTTCATTCACTTCCTCCACTGCCATATGCTAAACTAGCAAAAACTATGCAGAAAATCGATGTTGTCATTTAAAACTCCTCCTTCTGTTTGCTGATTGGCCCAGGTAAAATTCTCCTGAAAAAAATCGCTGTCTATGGGAGAAATCCCAGACGGAGCAGTGAAGGATRGAAACTAGAATTGAGAGGAGCTGTGTAGGAAGGCAAGGGCCAGGTTACTTAATCAGCTGTGGCTGTTTTTCTTTCTTGAAAAGCAAATGGCCACACACTATGTTCCTCACAAGTGGAACCAATAGCTCACATCTAGGATAGATTTGAAATTATATAATCTTAGTTAATTGTTACAAGCTGAGCTTCATCTTCATTTCAAACAGAACCCAGCAATGGAGATGGTTGAAGGGAGCAGAGAAACCAGCCATGACCATATCTCAGCTCCATGTTTGAGATTTTAGGACTGAAAAATAGTTTGTATCAGTTTAAACGTCTTATTGGTTCACTGCGGATAAACTACATTTCTGCATTTAAGAACACACAACACACTATTGTATTTTTATGCTGAAGTCTTTACAGGTGGGGTAGAATTTGCAGCACAGTGGCTCTACGTGTTGACACATCAGGTTGTTTCTGAGAGTTACAAGGTTCTTTAAATTCACCTATACAGCAATGTACTGATATTAGACATTTTAATGTGTACTTTTGAATACATAAGTATTTTCAAAAGTAAGTACTTCAGTACTTTTACTTGAGTAGATTTTTGAAAGATTAACTTTTACTTGTAGTTGAGAAGATTTGACCCTGCGTATCAATACTTTTACTCAAGTACTAGAGTTGAGTACTTTGTCCACCACTGCCCATTATGTAGCAAAAACGTGCACACACACACACACACACACGTTTGTTCTTGAACCCTGTGGGAACCGTGCATTGGGCCTCATGCAAGAACATGTTCGTATTCTTCTCCTAAATTTCTCTTACTTTTGTTCGTACAAAGGGTTCGTACGAACATGTCACGTCAGATTCAACAAACTCTTCTATCTTCAGGAAAAGTGTGTAAATGAGCTGCGTAAATTCACCTGTTCGTATCCAGCTGCTCGTGCACGAGAGAGGAGATTAGCATAATTACCACCCCAAAAACACCATATAAGGCTYTGTTTCCTGCCTCAGATATCAGGAAGTGTCCATTCATGAAAATGACAGCGAAAACTAAAAAGAAAAACTTTACGAGTTCAGAGATTGAAGTCCGTCTGTCAGAGATCCAGAAAAGAAAATCTGTCATTTTTAGCAGGTCAGCTGTGGAATAAAATGAGCTGCTAAAAGTATAAACAACTGTGTTAAATCATTTTCATTTATTCTGAAGACACAGCTCTGCGCACCTTACCCACCCCCACCCCCCCACCCCATGCGTGCGGTTGCAGGTGGTCTCAGTTGCGGTTCTGAAATAAGTCTTTTAAAATGTTTTCAAAACATGTCTGGCACTTTGGAGAAAATCCAGGACTTGCTAGAGGGATTATGTATCCCCTCTGGTCTGGGAACGTCTCGGTGTCCCCCAGGACGAGCTGGAAGGTGTCGCTGGGGAGAGCGGGGTCTCTCTGCTGCACCTCGACCCGATCCCGGATGAGCGGCAGAAAACAGACGAACGGACAATTTATATTGTTAGTCTAAATTATTACATTTAAAATTATAACTTTAATTCAAGCAGAATAGCCTATTGTCAACATAATTATGGAGAGTAATTTATTTTCAACTCAAAATATCTTCAAACTAACGAAATATAAGAATATATAAAAATAGAATATATAAAAAAATATAAGAAAACCCGTCTGGATAACAGCAGACTGACTGCTGGTAAAATATACGACAGGTCTGGACCACTCCTGAATTTTGTTCGTATCTGAAAAAAATCTTAGAATATGAAAACATTGGTGAATGCCACAAATTCTCCTAAATCACTCGTACGCACAACTTAAGAACAAATCTGTGCGTACGAATGGTTCTTGCATGAGGCCCATTGACTCTCATTCATTATTTTTAGACTTTATAGCCTAACCCTGACCATTTACCCTAAAATTAACCTCACAGGTACTTACCTGGCCCTAAAACTAACCTAAACCTTGGTCCTACACCTAACGCCCCCCACCCGTAATTTGCATTTGGACCCGTAAGGACCGATGTGCACCATGGGGACCGATGCAGGTCCCCATGGGTCCAAATGCAAATTACAGGTGGGGGGTTAGGTTTAGGCCCAAGGTCCCCACGAGGCTGCTTTTTTTGGGAAAATTTTCCCCACGTTGTAGGAAAAACCCGTCCACGCACGCACACCTATCTTTGTACTTGCATCAAACTGAGGACTTTGTATTGACCTCCATTCATTTTTGTAAATGCATTTATGTCCAACTCAGACATTTTTTTAACAGAAGAAGTAAAGTAAGGTCAACTCAGACATTTTAACCCTAACCTAGTCTATTCCTAAACTTAACCAAAACTTAATTCAAACCATACCTCCAAATCAAACTAGTAGAGTGCAGTAGAACTGCAAAAAAAGGAACGGTGGGGAAAATGTCTTCATTTTGTTGGTTAAAATTTTATGATGATCCTCACTCTGTGGTAGAAACAAGTATACACACACACATGGTCTAGTACAGCTGTCTTTGTGGGGACATTGTATTGACTTCCTTTAATTTCTACAGCCTAACCCTGACCCTAAACCTAACCTCACAGGTATGCACCTGGCCCTAAATCTAACCTAAACTCAATCCACATCTTAGTCCTAAACCTAACACCCAACCCACCAATGGCAATTACCCCCATGGGGACTAGGCTTAAGTCCCCATAAGTACCAGTTGGTCCACACAAGTAGGGTTGTATGCCAAAAATGGCCCCCACATAGTAGGGAATACCTGCACGCACACATGAATACACAACATAACACATGTCTAACAAACAATGCAGGTATACTAATAAAGGAGAAAAGAAAACATACATCTTTCTGGGCAAACAAGTCCTCCATCTTCTCCTCTCTGGTCTTACTGAAGGTATCAGTCTTCAGGGAGGTTAGACGGTCATCGATGGCCAGGTACACCTGAACCACTCTGTTCACACAGATGGTAGGGAAATAAAAGGATTCGTTCATGCATTATCAGTCAAAAGGACAGAGTCTAATCTTATCTTTTAACACAGAGGTTTAAAACCTGTGGCTTTTTGATCCCTCAGCAGTATTAATAAAGATCAGATTCAGATCAGGTGTTGCATGATGTTACCACATATTTTGTCACTTCCTATTTTAGTTTACTGAAGGAATCTTTTGATTTACTGGATTATCGAACTTACACAGTTTTCCTTGTAAAAAAAAACACCCTTGATACAGTTGTTTCCTATTGTTGGATTATGTCTGAGACATCTTTTGTCTTTCTGCTGTTATCAGCATGGCTACTGATTTTCTCCCACATTCTTCTGTTCTCACTTGCCTTGTGTGTCAGATGTTTAGTTATTTCTCTGCCTCTTTTATTGTTTGTTTATTGTTGTTATCATTTATATTATTTATATATTATTATAATGGTTCATGTAGTAAATATAGTCTTAAAGTAGCTATGGAGGTGAGGCTAAATTGAAAGAACGCTTGGCTTCGTGCTGTTGAAAAACCATTAGCTACACCAGCGGTTCCCAAACCTTTTCTGATGGGCCCCACTTTGGTTTATAAAAATAATTTCATGCCCCACCACCACAACCACCACACACACAGATGTTTGTTTCTCGACCCCGTGGGGACCTTCCATTGATTTCAATTCATGTTTTTTAGCCTTTATATCTTAACCCTGACCATATATTCTAAAATTAACCTCACAGGTACCTACCTGACACTAAAACCAACCTAAATCTTGGTCCTAAACCTAACCCCACACCCATAACTTGCATTTGGACCCGTGGGGAACTTGCATTGGTCCCCACGATACTCTTTGGTCCCCATGAGGCTGCTTTTTTTTGGGCAAAATTGTCCCCACATTGTAGGAAAAACCCATCCACACACACACACACACACACACACACACACACACACACACA